AATATGAAGACAAGTTACTCGAAGCGTTCGTTGTTCTAACAATATTTGTTGGCTTAGAATCGTAATTAGTATGTGTGTCAATATTAGTACTCGATAATTGTAACAACTCTTCAACTTCTTTAGCATACTCAAGAAATTCGACAGTGGTTTTTGGTTTTTTCTTGCGTACTTCAAGTTGAATACTAGGTTTAACCTTGTTTAAAAGATTTTTCAATTTAGTTGATTCACTCATACTAGGATCAGCTTGTTTACACAACTTAATTACTTCGTTGTAAAAATTTCGAACTGACTGATTTGCACTTTGTGTATATGATTCGAGAGTTTTAAAGGCTAACTCTTCACAAAATGATGATGTAAATGCTTTTTTAATTTCCTGAACAAAAAGACTCCAACTAGTTAACGTAGATCTGTTGTTTCGATACCATTGAAGTGCGTCTCCTCGTAAAGAATACGAAATTAAATCAAGTCGATTGCATTCAGGAACATGTGCAGTTTGCATTAAATGATCGATTTCCTCTAACCACTTAATTACATCATCTTTATTCCCACGAAAAATCTTTGGATTTTTAATAAAATCTGTCAGAATTGCTTTACGTAAGTCATTTACAACTGAATTAAGCGAAGTATTATCTGTTGATGAATTGTTTCCGGTTAACTTAGACTCAGATACATCACCGTTAACTTCGGTGGTATCTTTAACAATGACCTTATTACTAGAACAAAGACATGATTGAGACATCTGAATGGAATTGGTATTATTCACAACGCTCGAAGTTAAATCTGTACTCGATTTATTGTTATACGACTGATTATTCACTGACTGAATACTTTGAGCGACCTGGTTAAGCTGTGAATTGCTAGATACTACAGTATTTGTATCGAAATGTGTTAACAAGAATTCATAGAAATCATCAAAAGAACTAATAGATCGACGGTTTTTAATATATTTTCGTTTAGCTTCACCCTGAACTAGAAGTGGTACAGCTTTAAGTCGAAGTTTACGTGAAATTTTGAATCGATGAAATAACATTTCTGTCTCATCTAACCATTGATCAATTGGTTGTATGCCAGAAAAAGGAACAAAATTTTCACAAATAAATCTATCAAATAGATTATCTTCGTCATCTTCTTCTTTATTATGATCTTCATGAACTGATTGATTGTCATCGATATTTAACTGTTCTAATGATTCTTGTTTACGATTAAGTGAAACTTTGTTACTGTCATCGGAGTCAAGATGCTTATCTGTAGTAGTAATAGTTTTGGTAATAGATGTATTTTTATTAGTAGAAGACGGAACTTTAGCAGATGTTAATAATTTAGGAGGTCGATTTGGCGTCGGAATGATCGCCATTCGACGAGCTAACTTAGCAAAAGAACTATATTGAACTTCTGGATTTGTTGTCGATGTTAATACTGACATTGTTGAAGTTGTCGGTAGATTTAATGAATCTAACGATGTAGATTTATACATGTTTGTTTTGTTTTTTTTTTTTTATATAACAATGTATTAGAATACAGAAAAATGAATATAAATCAAAGTGACAGGAAGGAA